TATATTGTGTATCTGGAATGAATTTTAGGTCTCTACGTCCATCCCATGGGGAATGGGAGCAGTAACAAAGGTGTTGCGTTTATATTTTTGTTGAGTGTAACTTTTGATGGCCCTTTTTGCAGGTCCACCAACGTATTTACAAAGGTAATAGGCCTTTTCATTTACTGGAATGTTTTTCCTACCTATTAGGGTTTGAAATGACATCTTCCAATCGTTGTTTCTCAGTGGGTCTCCTATGAAGACAGAAGGTTCAGGTACTGGTAGACGGCTTACATTAATAGACTCTGCTATTGCTTCAGCAAGGACTGTGACACTATCTGTTTGGTGTATCACGGGATGCTCACGTGGACTCCTTACAGCTCCTGGAGATCTATGTTGCTGAGCTGCATGGTTATGAAGTAACTCTGTTATTTCCTCATCTGAGCTTGCATCTTGTTCATAAACTTGGAGCCGTGCCTTTGCCGCACTTAACTTCTTAACAGTCTGTAAGCACTTCTCTTCCAGTGCTTTCTTTCTTGCCACATTTTCTTCCTCTTGTAATGCTATCCTCTTTCTATCTTCTTCTTCAAGGCTTTCAAGTTCTTGTTGTTCACATTCTATCTCCTGCAGGACCTTTAGTGCAGCTTGTGTGGCAGCCAGCTCTACTACAGCCTCTTGTCTCTTAATGGAGGAAAGGCTTGACTTTCGCGACTTTATGCTGGAACTGCTTTCAGAGCTTAACCCTTAGATGCACACGTGGGGTCAAAAATGACCCCATGGGTTGTTTTTCTTCAAAATCTTAAAAATGAAAAGTTGTAATATATTCATGTTGAAGGTATTCCTCATAAAATATGTTTGTAACATGAGGCTATTTGCAATTTTATTTATTTTTTCAATAATTTAAAAAATGCAGTTTGTGTATCACTACTCCACTCTTCCAGAAGTGGGATCAAAAATGACCCCAAGCAGTTCCTATGGAATTTTCTATGAACCTTTAATTCTTAGCAACTCTGAGTGTCCCACTTACACTTCTGATGGATCAGGAATTTATTTTTAGACAGTAACAAACGATTTATACTTTTCTGTGAATTTCAAACATTGTCCTTTCTGATGTTTATTTTTAATATCTAAAGTAACATAGCTACTATGAGGCCAGCTAGGATCCCTGTGGACCTTGCCCTACAAATGATCCAGGATGGAGGGGATGAAGAGCCCATCAGAGGCATTGACTCAGAATCTGACATCTTAGATATAGAGGACCCAGACTACACCACTGAATAAGGCCAGTGAGACACAGAGAAGTCCTCTAAAGAGGAAATGGATATTGTGTCTAACAGAATGAGCCCCTCTTCCTGCTCAATATTCTGAATAGTTGGCCAGGGCTTGCACCTGGGTTTAGTACTGTCTCCCCAATAGATGCATGGAAGATGTTCATGTCTGATAATATAATACAGGAGGTGCTGACATGCACAAATATGGAGGCACGAAGAGTAGCCAGAGACAGGGGAAAAGAGTGGAAAAATGTAATCTAACATAAGCTCATGGCCTCATGGATTAACCATTCTTGCAGGAAGTGAACTGGTATGTACCATTCGGTGTGTTTTTTGGGAGTCCTCTGCACTCTTCCACACCCGTGGAAGAGTGTAGGTATTGGTAGGTTGTGCATCCAAGGGTTAAGGGCAGAGGCATCAAAAGCATCAAATTGGCTATTCTTCCCTTGTCTTTTTAAAGATAAAACTCATTGCTACAGCCAGGAAAAAAATACAAAATTCACCCGTTAGACCTGCTTTTTTTTGTTTGTTTCTGTCTCTATTGTTATGTATGTATGTATGTTCTGTCACTAGTTAGCTTACATAAATCAATGTAGGAGTATTAACAACAATGCCATTTTATGTATTTGGACAAGATAGCACTACATTTACTCTAAAACTGTAACTTCAAGAATTTTAATTTTAAATTCAGTTTCATGCACAGTGTTAAATGTGTAACAGTTGTTCAGAATAGGTGTCAGTGGTATAAATTAGACTTAGTACATGTAGTGTTTCATGTACTCCACATACACAGTAATTTTACAGTAATTCACTTGAAACAGTTTCTTGTGAAATTTTAAGTTCAAAATAAGTAACATTTGCCAAAGATTCTTTTCTTATTCACAGTGAAGGTGCAGCACCTTCTATGCAAAGTTACAATCGTTTATGTTGCTGACACTATTTGAGAGTGAACATTTTATGCCAGTTATATAAGTAATATAAAGTGCAAGACAACATTGCAGATTTAAGACATTTGAGACATTCAAGCAGCTTAAATCTTGAAAAACACGGTTTGGCAATGAAGTGAGCAAACAAGCACCAACACTATCCTTTGAGGGAATGGTTCATTATCACTAGTGACAAACATGAAAAGCCAATGGTAATAAGCGAGTCTGAAATGCTACTCTGCAGGAAAAACATTTACGATTCTGAGTGCCAGCAACAATTTCTTTGGCTGCCCAAAGATCTCCCCACATAGTATTTCTTTTCTTTAGTGCTAGTCAGAGAAACGCCAAGTAAGATAATCCATTACTTTCCCCACTGACTAGAGCACATACACGCACAAGCATAAAGGCAATATACCAGGTTGACTGGCTGTTGATGCCAGTTTATTACTTCTAATTCTATTTACCACTATTCTTGCAACTGTGCACCAGCTCACAGTGGGTTGTAAAGAGTTTATTTCTGATATGGGGGGAGTTTCAAATCACATAACAGAGTGACTTTTTATATTTACATTTTACTTACTATTTCCTTTAATTTCCTCTTGATAAAATAAAAGGTATGTTTTGAAATGCAACATAATTTGTATTTCTTAAAACTTAAAACTGAATTGAATATGCAGTCTGTGTTAATCACACCAGTCCACACTGTAGTTATTCTAATAGGGATTAACTGATTTAATTTAATTGCCTTAGGGCAACTGTAGTTGTGATTTGGTGTTATACAAATTAAACTGGATTGAACTGAATATGACTTAAGACTTATTTTATAGCATTTTTAAACACTAAGGAAACCAGTAAATGCAGGGAGGCAGAAACACTGAATGACTGAGGTGGTGAAGGGTTCCTACGGTGTGGAAACCAGGTTTTGCTGGCTCTAGACAACTGTAAAAGAAAGAGCAACAGCTTGGCTGTAAGCATTCATGTTATGTTGGAGGCTTAACATCTGATCATATAGAGAAGCAGCACATAACATACACTGCTGAAAGCACAGTTGGAAGCGCAATTAGAACATAAAACACACAAAGATACACATACGTAGTGGCACACAGAGCATCTTAGGTGGTATTTTGCTGTGAGGAGCCAACAATCCAAACAAGCCAAACAATCAGAAAATGAGCTGTGGCCTCTAGCCAAGTAATACTTTGATTGGAGTTCATTCTTGTCAGGCCACAGACTGTGCAGTTTCATCTCCTTAAATCCACCACTTTGAAAAGAAGAAAGGGTTGCGGCCTATAATTAATCTTAAACCCTGTTGTGGAAAGTGTACGTTAATAAAAACAGCTACAGATTAATTTCCATCTAGAGATAAATAGCTGTTCTACATATAGAAGAAAATTCATGTGAAACAAGAATTGGGAGTGTTGTGTGGGAATCTCAAGTGTATCTGAGTGTGTGGGGAGTTGGTTTAGACACCTTTACACTGAGGTAATGAGTTGCTTCACATATTTGTTTTGAGAAACTTTTAAATGAACTTTGGCAACTTGAATGTTAATAGAGATCAATATAAATTTTCTAGTTTTGGGCAAAAGAAAAGTGTAGTAAATTCATGATTCAAAATAATAACAAAATAATTTTTTATGCCACCATGAGTTTACAACTCAACTGGAATCCAAAAGGTTCTGCTACAGGGTACTCTATCACAGGATTTACACACAGTAATCAGCTGAACAATAAAATAAAAATAAACCATGGCTTACCCCTTGGTGAATGATGCTTCCAAATTATGCTTGCATCAGGTCGACCAACTGCCAGGCACATAAGATTGACGTTGCTGCCTTCATTCACCGTGACGTCCTTTGATATGTTAGTGATCCTGGCAGGTACTGAGGGTAGAAAGAAGAATCGTGATTGATGTTTTTACTCTAATTAATGACAAATAAACAAAGTACTTGTTATTGCATGTGGTCAGACCCATGATGAGGTTAAAAATAACCCCAGGGATGGGGACTCAATTAGCATGAAATTAGCTGACAAATCTCTCAATTCTCTGGCTCGGTGTGATGTTATACATGATTGATTTTCTTCATCATGTATCTATGCCACATTGCTTATTAGACAAGCATCAGACTAATTTGAAGTACGACAGGATTTTAACTTTCACCAAGGAAATTTGATTTGTGTGTGTGGCAGGCTCATTGATTGAGTGTGCTCTGTAAGAGGATAACCTCAAGTCAAGGGTTAGACGTTACTGTCCTTCACTGTAATTTAACTCTCTCATATTGACTTGAACTTTAAAACCACATTAGCCCAAAATGCTGGGTTGACATTCATAGAAGAAAAGGACAGATGAGAATGGGCATGTGCCTTAATTGATCATAAATAATTTCATATCAAGAAAACAAAAATACAACAGAAACTTCTTCCATTCTGCCCTAGAACGGAAGAAGTTTCTTGGATGAGAGTTGAAACGTCTTCAAGCAACTTAAAGAAGTCCAGACACTTTTCTTTTCAAGCTCCTTAGAGTACAAACCTGGCCACATTTATAGTATTAATGTTACTGTGTTGTGAAAAAGTGTTTGCCCCTTTCCTGATTTCCTATATTTTTGTCACACTTAAATGTGATTATTAAGCAAATTTAAATATTAGACAAAGATAACATAAGTAAACACAAACGTTTCTAGATGAAGGTGTTTATGATTAAGGAGAAAGAAATTGAAACATAATTGGCCCTGTGTGAAAAAGCGATTGTCCCCTAACTCTAAAATTATTCAGGAATGCACTAATAGAATGACAGAAGGAGCGAGGTGTTGCACCAAGGATGAATATAAGAAAAAACGTTTTTTAATCATGCAAAGCTACTATTGAACACTCCAAGAAAAATATGTTAGAAATAACTATTATAGGGCTTATTTCACTGGACTATAAAGTGATCCATTTTATTAGCCATTATTTTGCAGGTATGGTAATGTTTTAGTCCTCATGTCCTCACCTGATGCTTCTATTTTTGTTTGTTGTTGCTCATTGTCCCTGCTTTCCCTCTTTGTACGTTTATATGCGTGTGTGTGTGTGCACATGTTCTCGCCTTCATATGAACATGGGGCCTTGACAGTTTTCCACTCTGAAGCCAGCCACACCTGACAATGATCACATGTTTGTAGCTCATCACTAGAGACCTACTTAACAGAGTGGCTGTGCTTCAGTCAACACTGGATCGTTGTGTGGCAACAGTCAGCTCGTGCAACTGTGTTTTGGCAAGTAAGGAGAACCATGTGGAGGGAGCCATGTGTGTTATTGTAAATATTGCTGTGGAAGCTGTGGAGAAAGAAGCTTTTGGAAGAGGAGTCACTGTACTGGAAGCTGGGAAGTCACTGCTGAAAAGATTACGTTACACTCTAAATAAATTCACTGTCTTCATTCTGGGAGTCCTGCATTGGGTCCTATTTTCCTGACAGATTTGACAGAATGATCCAGCCAGAATGGACTATTAAATTCCGGTTCTTTAGTATTCTTTACGGCCAAGAAAGACACAGGGCTCAAAGTGGTCCTTTTACTTTAAAAATGATCTTTATTTTACATATCCGGATATGGAGACCTGAACACAAAACACACAACCCCAGGTCTGAAGCACAAACGGAAGCCTAGGTATTTATATACTCGCTCTCTACATCACACCAAACTTTAAGTTTCGATCAAACAGCCTAGTTGGTTTCACTTTCTAGCTGCAAAAGCACGCTCTGCAAAAGCATGTAATTTCCTGTCAGCCTGCAACCTAGTTTTACACTGAAGTCTGGGCCTCTCTTATATAAACCAATATAATCAGCATAAAAGCATTTAAGATTATATATTTATTACCTAACAGGACCCAGTGGATTTGAGCCCAGTCAAGCGAATGCTAACGATACAGGAAGACTGACTGGATGGACGCAAAAAAATATTACAACACATTTCCAAGGAGCAGAGGTCAATGCAACCGCACTTTGCGGAGATGCTTAAGATGCTTGAGTCTAGTTTATTCATTATGTTCTCAGTATATTTTATATTTTCTAGTTTATTTTGCTTACACACTGGAGTTTATTTAGTATTTCTAGTTTAGGTTGTATTGGGTGTTGGTCCAGTTCATGTCTTTTTATCAAATCTCTGTGTCTTTCCCTCAGTATTCTCCTAGTTAGGTCAGTCTTGTCTTGATGTTTGTCTAGTTGCCTGTTTCTCCAGTCATGGGCCCCATTTCTTCTCCCTCTGTTTCCTGGGTTTCGTCTGTCTGTGTGCCACTATTTCCTGTTTCAGTTTGACAGTCTCTTGTCCTATGTTTAGTGGGTGGCTGTAGCTCAGGTGACAGAGCAGGTCAGCCACTAATCAGAAGGTCGGTGGTTCGAGAGCAGGTCAGCCACTAATCAGAAGGTCGGTGGTTCGATCCCAGGCTGCCTCCTGGCTGCATGCCAAATATCCTTGGGCAAGATACTAACCCCATGTTTGCCTACTGGTGGTGGTCAGAGGGCCCGGTGGCGCCAGTGTCCGGCAGCCTCGCCTCTGTCAGTGCGCCCCAGGGCAGCTGTGGCTACAATGTAGCTTGCCATCGCCAGTGTGTGAATGTGAGTGTGAATGGGTGAATGACTGAATGTAGTGTGAAGCGCTTTGGTGTCCTTAAGGACTAGAAAAGCGCTATACAAATGCAGGCCATTTACCATGTTTCATGTTCAGCTGTGCCTCCCCTGTCTTGTTAGTTTATGGTCAGTCTGTTTCCTCCTGTGGTTTGTTTCCTCATCTGCCCTTGTGTATATTCAGCGACGGCCTCTGTCCTGCGTTGTTATGTTCATTAGTTTAGTTCCGATGTTTTCCCAGTTTTGTTTTTGTATTAGGACATCCAGCAATAAAGCAGTGTTTTAGTTGTTCTGCCTAATGAGTCTGCATTTTGGGTCCAATCCCCTTCTCTCATGACATTAACAGCTGTGTTTTGTTCATATTCAGGAAACTGTGTAGCGTGTCGAGGGAGCCAAGTGTGTTTTCGTAAATGTTGCTGTGGGAGCTGTGGCAACAGCTTTTAGAAAAGAATTTACTGCACTGGAAAGTCACTGCTGATATTGAAACTGTTTTGCACTGTATTGTTTTACACTCAAAATATACTCATTGTCTTTGTTCTGGAAGTCCTGCATTTGGGTCCTGTTTTCCCAACAGGCTTCACAGATAATTTACACCATCAAGATGGCATCACTACTTCTGATTTTTTGGAACTCGTTTGTGACAGATTTTGTTCATTTTTATGGACGGAATTTCTTCTCAGCTTCTCATCTCTGCTTTTGAAGATGATGCAGTTCTGTTGGCTTCATCAGGAGGTGGCCTCCAGTTCGCACTGGAGCGGTTCAGAGCTAAGTGAGACCCGATGTAAATGAGAATCAGCACCTCAAAGTCTTAGACCATGGTCCACATCCAGAAAAGGGTGAAGTGCCCATTCCAACTCAGGGGCCAGTTATCGCCCCAAGTGGAGGAATTTAAATATTACGGGGTCTTGTTCACTAGTGAGGGGAGCGGGAGATGGGCAGACGGAGTTGGACTGCGGCTGCAGTGATGCGGATGCTGTACTGTTGCCTTGCATTAAACTGCAATTAAGAGACTTCTCTATCTTTTGCTTACAGCAGTTAAACTAATGCCATGGAATGAATGTATGATTCAATGAGAGGAAAATGTAACATGCTGGACTTTTAAGAAGTTTAAATGGAATGGGATGGTTGTGGTGGGTGGTGCGGTTTGGAACCATTGTTATAGTGACCACAGAATTTAATGAAGTAGCATCTGTTTGCAGAGTAAGTGAAGGGTCTCCAGCTTGATAATGCCAGTAGGCAGGTGATTGAAAAAAACATACCTCCCCTGCCACCGGGCTTGCTAAGTTGTGGCTTGTGGCTGGGGATGCATCATCCTTCATATCAGCACAACAAATAAAATCCAGAAGCGATCAAAGGAGGAAACTAATGCTTTCCTTTAATATTTGTTGAACATCTAGGCAAAAGTGCTGAGAATGATTTTCTCTGCAATATTTTTTTCTAATTTTAACCTTCATTCTACTGGTAAATGGGTTTCATTCACATGGAAAGGAACAGAAATGCTACAATGTGTTATCCTAATGGCACAAGAAGAAGTAAAATGATATAGTATGCATGGCTAGAATGACTTGCAATGATGTGTTTGAGAAGATAAATCATACATTTATGACAAATGCCAGTGTCAGAAAATGCAATAGCAAAATGTGTAGATGGATATTTCTAGATGTTTGGAAAGTAGGTACCTAAAATAAGCTAAGCAACAACATCCATGCTCATCTTCCCACTCCTACTAAGGGGATTAGGAAGGATTGGGAGCCTTTGCTCCCAATTTACTTCAGCAGAGATAGCACAATTATCATTTAAACTACTTCAAGTCCTGATTTAAAAACAGAAACTAACAAGACATACTCCAAGAATGTGCCTCCACCAAAACAGCTCACTCTCAAATTCAAATTCAAATTCAAATTCAAATTTTATTTGTCACACACACACAACCATACACAGCATGACATGGGGGTGAAATGCTTGTAGCTGTACAATGCCCGACCATTAAATGACAGAAGAAAAGTTTTACAATATTTACAATTTACAGTTTACTACAAAAATTTACAAATTAACTTAGGAATGTACAGTAAAGAATGTGCAAATAGCAGAAGAGATTATAAAGATAAGGATTATAAATTATAGGAATTATAGGATTATAGGAAATGTG